TCTAAAATTGATAAATGGCCTGGCAGTCACAAAGGGGTCGGCACAGAGCCTAACATCTCCTTGCCAGTGGGTCCCCTCCGGTGGATGTTTCGGATTCACCCTGCTACATGCGCATGAGGTGGCCGAGGTGACGGCCCTCAGGGGACTCGGGCAGCCTTGACCACCCTCTGGAAGGTCACTCCTTGCCCGCAGCCCCCCGAGGAGTGGCAGGCTGGTGGCAGGCAATGTCCTGGGTGCAGAGCTGGGTCCCCTGCTGCTGGCCCCAGTGGCTGTGACGGGAGCTGGCCCTCAGCCAGCTTGTACGGGCACCGCAGCTGAACCAGGACAAAGAAGACCCAGACCGACTGAGCGCACTCCACGCACCAGAGCCTCTGTGGCCAGGGCTGGACCTTTCTTATTCTGGACACACACTGGGCCCCCTTAAGGGCTATCACATGAGCCTGTGTGTTTGCTCATGAGTGAAACGGCCTGGTCCTGGCCGGTACATCTTAGCTGACCAGCCTAGCCTAGCGCACGGGCAGAGAGAACAAGCTCAGCCCTGCTGGTCACAAGGGCTTCCACTTGCCTGGTCCTGGGGAAGGGTCCAGGGCCAGCACAGATGGCAGCTTTTGTGTCTGATGAGCTCTCTGGGAAGGCTCCAGCGTTCTCAGAGGTCCCCCGGGTCCCGTTTCTTTAGACACTGCTGACGTGGTGGCCTCACAAGGTACCCCCTCACGGCTGTGACAACAGTGGCTGTGTGAGCCAACAGCCTGCGTGCGCGATGGAAACTACCGGGATGTTCACACTTTACAAAGTTATTCCAGCGAAAGACACTGCCGTGAGTCCCCTCAGAATCCCCCCTTCGCTTTGAGCACAGTCATCCCTTCATCCTTGCCACTTCTGCAGCAGCTCTGGAAATCCTCTTTCCTGAGGGTCTCGTGCTGGGGTGGCTGCTTCGATTTCCTGAACCGACTCGAGACGCTTGCTTCGCCTGGGCATCATGACTCTGGGGAAGAGCCAGAGGTCACACGGGGCCAGGTCCGGTGAGCGAGATGGGTGAGGGCGGCCTTTCTGCTGGATGGCACGGCAGGCAAGAGGACTCCAGAGCTGCTTCTGACAGTGGCGAGGACGATGCGACCCACGTGTGGGAAGTGACGGTGCGGATTCTGAGGGGGGCGCGTGGCTCCGTGTCTTCTACAGGAATACATTTTTTAAGAAGATTAAGCATTCACGGTGTGTTTGGATCACGCCTCACGTGCAGACATCAGAACAGTGCAGACAGTTCTGCCACCACTCGTTTACAAACTCTCCTTCCTTCCACTGCGATTGATGTCCTGTCCTGGGCGCATCTAAGCAGAAGGCGAGTGTGGCATCTCTCTGCCAGTTCACTTCCAAGAAACACTAAGTGTAAGCAAAAGTCCGCACCCAGTGGACAGGGCCCTGCTGCAGTACAAGTAACCCATTTATGACCCCAAATCTCCACAGGTGTCAGAGGTGGGGTCACACCCGGGGTCCGATGACCTCCGCCTCTGCAGTGACAGCAGCCGCTGCCTTCTGCAGCCATGCCACCCACGAGGCCGAGGGCCCCATCTCCTGTGGTGTCGTGTGACCCTTTCTCTCTCTCTCTTTCTCTCTCCTTTCCTTCTTTCCTTCTTCTTCTTTTTGTTTTTGTTTTTGAGACGGGGTCCTGCTATATAGTCCAGGCTGGCCTTCAACTCACAGCAATCCTCCTGCTTCAGCCTCCTGAGTTCTGGGATTACAGGCGTGCTCCTAAATGCCCCACACTAATGTGGTTCTAATCATTTGGTTCTATACGTGTGCTACCATTTTTATGAGCTGTCTTTTTAGGCATCTCTGATGAAGTTTTTCAGTGTTATGCCCCCACCTCTATTTAATCTGTAAACCCTATGGTGTTTATTCCATGGGGCTCCATAGCATTATGAATTTTTTTTTTTCTGGTACCGGGGATTGAACTCGGGTCATTGTGCTTGCAAGGCAGGCCACCGAACCGCTGAGCTACATCCCCGGCCCCACAGCATTATGATTTTTAGGACTGTGTATGTAGCATTATAGCCAGGACAAGTTGCATAATTTGTGGAGACTCTTTAAAAATTAAGAATTTCAAGCCAGGCGTGGTGGCGCACACCTGTAATCCCAGCACTTGGGAGGCCGAGGCAGGCGGACGGCTGTAAGATTGAGCTATGGAGTGGGTACAAGGCCATCTTGAAATATACAGTGGGATCCTGTCTCAAAAACCCTGCACTCATTCACGCATTCACGGATTCACTCGAATATTCACGGAGGGTCCTTAGGGCCAGGCTCACTGCTAGTCATGGAGATGGGGTGGGGGTACAGCCCACGACAGCTGAAGGAGCCCCTCGAGGGGCCCAAACACAAGGAAAGTGTTGGGACCACTCTTTGGATGTCCCACATTTCTGCGAGTCCCAGGGCTGTGGCATGGACGGCCTTATATTCTGGACTCTGCTCAGGTGGTTCCGTGGTGAAAACCCTGGGAGACAGACATTGGCTCTTCCCAGCGGGGCAGAGGTGGATTCGTTTACTGTCTGTCCAAATGATAACGCCTGCCTCTGCAGAAAGGGTTGGGCAGGTTTGTTTTGAAGCTCCTTGAAAGACACGGGGACCCCCAAGGTGGGAGCTCCTCAGCTGTTTTGCAAACTCACTACATTGCAGACCCTTTGGGGGCTGCCTCTGTGTGGCCCCAGGAGGCTGGGTCAGGGAACGCAAACTTCTGTTTCCAAGCTAAAGCGACCCTGAAATCCTCACTGTGTGGAAAGTGAGTGGATTTCGGGGCTTGTCTCCCACGCGCTGGCAGGAAGTGCGGTCTGGTTGGAAGAGTCGGTGACCCCGGAGGATTTGTCTCTCTCTTTTCCTGTCCTCCGCCGTGAGCAGCTCTCCTCCTCAGTACGCCCCCAGGCTGTGCCGTTGGGTCCTGGAGCCAGCCAACTGTGGACTGTCACTGTCTCCCTTCATTTGTGTGTCAGGTATTTGGGCTCAGCCACGAGAAAGGGACTAAGACAGAAACCAATGCAATTGTGACGTTCATGCCACCTGCTGTGCCTTGAACCATAAAGTCTTTTGTGACCCGTCCCCTGTCCCCTGTGCGTCCCTGAAACCTTGGCAGGCAGACTTAGCTGGAGAGTGGGGTGAACACCCCTAGCGGCCACAGTTCTTCGCCTCTGGGCTGTCGCGTGGCTCAGTGAGGGGACTGCGGGGGAGCCCCGAGGGAGCCGAAACAGGCAGGACGGGTGCAGGGCCCTGGAAGAGCCTGGGCAGGAGAGGGAAGGAAGCTAAGGTTCGCTGGGAGCGGAAGGAGCCCGAGCCCCCTACTGAGTAAGCTCCTGTCAAACCTCCAGCATGCAGGACAATGACAGAGAGGGGTCCCGGGGGCATGCGGGGGGCGTTCTCCCCACAGCGTCCTCATGGGGGAGGTGGCAGCAGGACACTGCGCAGAGGAAGCCCGGGGTCTCTGGCCACCCTGCAGAAGGGTTCCCGGCTCCCCCAGGTGCCAAATCCACATCCGGTGCCTCCCGTCTCCTCTCTCGTGTCTCCTGGTGAACTCGGGGCTCCCTCCAAAGAGGAGACAGGGCCCCCCAAACACAGCGCCACAGAGCTGCCCTTGCTCTGCGGGGACCTCCGCACTGCTCAGCAATCTCCTTCTGCTGCCTGCAGCCCCTGGAGACCAGCCAGGTTCCCCAGGATTCACCCCCATTCCAGGAGGTTTTGGGGTGAGGCTATGCTGCTCTTGTCTCTCCACGGAGCCGTGTGCAGAGGCCTGCGCCCTGGGAAGGTCTTCACTGGTGCTGCTTTGGCTGCCTCAATGTCCTGAATTGATTCAACACGCATCCCTCTCAGGGTCGCTTTGACTTTTGGAAAGAGCCAGAGCTTGGTCGGTGCCAGATCCAATGAACAAGGTGGAGGGGGAGACAGTGTCATGCTTTTATGAGCCTGCCTTTCCGCTGGATGGCAGCAGTATTCACCATATATAGTTTTTCTTTTTTTGGTACTGAGGATCGAACTCGGGACCCTGTGCTTGCAAGGCAGGCAGCAGAACCACTGAGCCAAATCCCCGGCCCTTCACCATATGTTTTTATTACACCTCATTAAGACTCCGGGAAAGAGGACTTCCAGAACCGCCTCAGAAAGTGGCAAGATAATGGGATGAGGGGGTCTTTTGGGGAGGGTGCGGCTCAGAGAGGAGACGCTCTGAGCACAGAACACAAGTCACACCTGGCTGTGGAGTGTGGGAGACAGGTGGGGACTGCAAGGCCCCCTAAGGCAGGGCTGAGATGACGACGGGCAGATGTGACCCTGCTGTTCCGTCTCTGCCACTTCCTCTCGGCCCTCTTGGCCAGGGGACCGGAGAATCAGTGGGAACCCCGTGAGGTGCAGCTGGGGTGTCGGGGGTCTGCTGTCTGCCCAGCTTCGTGCCCCTGACAGATCGGACCGAGGAATGAGCCCAGCTGTTTCCCTGGGTCACCCAGTGTGACTGGGGACTCCTTGGTGACGCGGGCAGGTGTTCAGGGGATTTCCAGGGCCGGTGCTGTGAGACGTGGTCACCTGCTGTCCTTCTGCAGCACGGTCGCCTTGCAACGTGGAGCTCCAGAGCCAAGGGAGAACGCACTGCTGTTGCCTGGTGGCTCCTGGTTCCAAGACATGGTTCTGGCCACCCTGGAAAATGACACAGAGCGTCCCTGGTGCCCTCACAGGCCCCCACACCTGACCTCAGGGCCACCGACGCCCCATGTCCCGAGTGCTGGGCTGTGTCCCGGTGCGGCCGTCTCAGCAGGTTCCTGTTGCTGCTCTGGCTCCACTGGACGCCTGGGAGCAGGGCTTGGGGGACTCCTTGTCCCCTGCTCTGTCCCTTGCCCCCCACCCCCCACCCCCAGCTGCGGCTGGTCCCTCTGCCAAGGGAAACAGGAGGAAGCCCACTCTCCACTGCCCCTCTGGCTAACTTCCCACCCTATCCCTGTTCTCTTCCAATTCTTTCTGGATCCCAGCACTCAGGAGGCTGAGGCAGGAGGATCACCTCGAGTTCAAGACGAGCCCAGGCTACTCAGTGAAACACTTTCTGGAAAACACCAAACAAACCAAAAGCAAAATCAAATTCTTTCTGGGTCACTGCCTCTAGCATATTCACCTGGCCAAGAATCCAGACACAGGTGTTCAGATGAGAGGCCTGGTAAGTAATCAGGGACAGAGGCTGGGAGGTCCCTGGGAGGGAAGTTCTGGGCGGTTCTCCCTGTTTTCCAAACCACTAAGTCCTAATCCACCTATCATTTTTATGTCACCTAAGTCATTATGTCATTGTCCTCTTGATTTTGCCTCTACCATTAGACTGTCAACATGAACAGGTTTAATGGACCCCAAGAGTCAAGGAAAGGCTTTAGATCCTGGACTAAGCTGATTCATGTTAACTTCCTCCTGGACAGCAGGAATCACTTTACATTTATAGAGCAAAACACACTGGCCTGATTCTTGCACAAAGAAATGAACCACTTTGGGTGCAAACATTGTAATCTCTGCCTTACTTATAATGAGGACAACTGGAAATAACCCGTGTCCACCTTAGTTAAACAAGGTACGGTGGCCCTCAGTGCAAATGGTGATATGTAAATGAAATATTACATAGTCTTCAAAAATGTGCAAATGAAATGTTTGTAAAACAAATGTCTAGGTTTAAAGCTAGGTGGCAAAGTAGGACTGTAAATAATATAAATGATATGATAGATTTAAACTGTTCATAATATAATAGATTAAAACCGTTTTCGACTATATACCTGTAGTCCCAGCTACTCAGGAGGCTAAAACAGGAGGATTGCTTGAGCCGCAACTTTGAGACCCAGCAGCCTGGATAACACAGTAAGACCTTTGTCTCCAAAAACCCCCAAAACTAAAAAAGTAAAAACCAGAAATGTATGTAAATGCTCTAGTCGTGGGGGAAAGGCAAAAATCTATCAAAGTATTAAGAGAAGTAATCCTGGGTGAAACTGAGCCCAGAAGGGTGTGAGGACAACTGGATAAAAGCCAAGTGGCAGAGCAGCCAAGCAGAAAGAGCCCTGGAGAGCTGGGTTAGGGCTCAGAGCCCCGCTGCCTGCTGTGTGGACCGGAAGCCCCCTGTCTGGGCCCGCACCCAATCTCGGGTAGATGGTGTGGACTAGTTTGCCAGGGGCTCTTCCGGTTCTGGAATGAAGTTGTGTCAGGATTTAGGCGGTGAGGCTGCACTGTGCCACACGGTAGTAAATCCAGGCTCCCCCTTGGTGCTGGGCTCACTTCCGGGCCTTCGTTTTCTTCTTCTCTCAGTTGAATGAATAGAAGGAGCTGAGATTCCTGGCTCCAAGCCAGTGCCAGCCTCCAGACCTCCCGTGTGCCCAGGACGCCCCGCTCCAGGGAGGCCTCTGCCCAGGAGAAGTGGGCTGGGCAAGCGCTGGGCCCTTCGTGCCCTGAGGTGAGCTGAGAGGGGGAATAAGCTCAGGGGTGGAAGTGTTTAGCACTTGAGAGAAAGGGGCTAAGGAACCCAATCCTAGGAGGTGTTGGCGGCTCTGGGTGGACCCAGGGCCAGGCCCTGCCTTCCTGAAGCCTGGGAACTTCCCCTTTGTCACCTGGGCCCCCTTTTTTTGCAACGGCAGTGACACATGCTGTACCCCGTGATCCAGTCATGGGGCCACCGATAGCAATGTCAACCCCTCTGGTCTTCTTTCTTTCTTTTTTTGGTTTTTGTTTGTTTGTTTTGAGGTAGGGTCTTGCTACGTAGCCCAGGCTGGCCTGGAACTTGTAGAGGTCCTCCTGCCTCTGCTTCCAGAGTGCTGAGATCACAGGCACACACCACCACACCTGCATAAATCTGTGTTCTCACATGGGACTTGAGCTTGATACTCATTACAAGTCTTTTTATTCAAGGCTTCTTAAATCTGATTTAATACATGTTTGACTTCCTGCCCCATCCCAGACCAAGTAACTGATATCTGACCAGAAATAACTTCAGCAGCAGCATAGGGTTGTATGAAGGCCTCAATTATAAGGAGGTAAGTAAGCAATGTTGGGGACCTGAAGAAACCAGGACTCTCACTTTGAGGGCTCAGAACAGAGCTGTCCCCTGGAGAGTCTGACTTTGCCAGCCCCCAGTCCCAGCCAGGTTTGTCTTTTCCCCTGCTCTGGCTGACTTACACCACGCTCCAGACTGAGCTTGTTTTATTTAGGAAAATACGGACTTAAACTTGACTTCTGGTTCCTGCCAGACCAGACCAGCAGCCTACGGGCTTAGGAGATCCTCACAAGACAGAGCTCAAGGAAGCCACTCATCCCCAGACACTGTCCCCACTGGGAGTGAAGGAATAGGATAAGGTGATGAATTAGGATAGCACACTCCATCCTATCCAAGTCCCCCTTCAAACTATTGTTAAAACCGGAAGGGGTATGGTACACACCTGTAATACCAACACTCTAGGAGGCTGAGGCGGAAGGATTTTGAGTTCTAGTCCAACCTGGGCAATTTAGACCCTGTCTCAAAATAAAAAAATAAAAAGGGCTGGGGATGTAGCTCCGTGAAAAGGCCCTGGGTTCCATCCCCAGGACTAAAGGTCTCACAGGAAAGACCAGTGTGGGTAGACAGGCCTGGGAATTCACGTGCAGATTCCTCTTCCCTGGGCTGGCCTCATTTGTGTCCATGTCTGGGGCTGCTGTCAGGATGAAACGATGCCCTAAAACATGAACATGTATATGCGCACTTCAGCCTTACCATCCTTTAGGTGTTGTTATTTCCATTTTATAGATGGAAACAGCTCAAAGGGGATGTGATTTTCCTTGGGGTGGAGTGGGGCTCAGCTTGGCTGTCCTGATGCCCGCGTGGACTCCCTCTGGGGGGACACCCTGCCCCGCCACCTTCCTTGTATTGGGAGGCGGGAAGCAGCCACATCCAGTCAACCAGACGTCCAGCTCTGACAACCGTGCAGCCGTCCAGACAGTGTCACCAAAGTCACCAGACGACTGGTTAACAGGGAGGTGCTGAGCAAGAGCCCACCTAGAGAATGATGCCAAAGGCCCAGTCAGGTCCTGGGGACCATGCAGATTCCCCTTGGTGATACCCTTCTACTCTGTGGCCCAGTCCCTCCTCACCTCTGTCTCCCGTTCCCGGGAAAGCATGGAATCACTTTGTCCCTATGGGGGGCACCGGGGGGGAACGGACACTGTCCCAGTGGTGACAGAGCATGACAGCAGCAGGGCCCAGCCTCGTGTACCTACCACACCCCTCTGCCTTCAGAGCTCTTGCTGCCACACCCTGTGTCGGGTTCCCGTTCCTTCCTGCTTGAGCTTTTGAGTCCCAAGAGGCCACAAAAGGGGTGACCTGCACCCCAAGCCTCCAAGAGCATCCCCTACATCCTCTTGGGCCACTGTTCCTCTTGTACCCGGGCGCTACTTTTGCCAGGCACATCCAGCCGCCCAGGGCTCGGTCCTGTGAGCAGAGCCAAAGCTCACTGCCGCACTCCAGCTTCTACCCTCACCCCAGTGTTTCCTCCCACGGCTAATATTTTCTCTTCTTTTTTTCTCTTTTCTGAGACAGGGTCTCACTGTGTAGCCCAGGCGGGTCTCAAAGTTGTGACAATGCTCCTGCCTCAGCCTCCTGAGTGCACTAGCACATCTGGTTCCGCGCCCTTTCCCTAGGGTGTCTACTGGTCTCCTCCACACCCCTATCCATAGGGCCCACGATCCCCACGCTGGGCCCCCACCTTCCCCTTTCTTCCTGAAGTGACTCAGCCCCTCCTGCTATAGCCGAGGCCGCCTGCCACCCTTGGAGTCGAAGGCCAGGGCTCAGGGTCACAGGCGAGGGGAGGCCTGTGCCTCCCAGTGTCCCGTTTCTTGGCCAAGCCAGCGGGACAGGAGCAATGGGTGTATCGGGAGGTTTTCCTCGTTAGGGAGAGGGTGGGGAATGAGAAAGAAAAGCCGGCTGCTGATTGGCCCGGGCTCTGCCCTCTTTCGTCCTCCTCCTGGGCTCACTGCCCTCCAGGAAACGCACCTGTGACAGAGGTGGCAGGGGCAGGGCAGGGCAGGCATTTTCTCTGCCTCACGCTGCCACTTTGGGGCCGTGCAGCTGCAGCCGAGGACTGTGTGGAGCCACGAGGCGGACGCCCTGGACCGGGGGCCCCTGGGTGCTCTGAGCTGCCTGTGCTGCTGCCTCCTGGGTAAGCCCTGCATCCGGGTGGCACTGAGGGCACAGGGAGGCCAGCTTCGGGGAGCCTGCTGGGAGAGAGAGGTACAGGGTAGAGATGGGGCAGGATGGGGGAGACCACCAGAAGACGGAGGGTGTGGCCCGGCTGGCGGAACCCCTGCAGAACCAGGGCTGTTTGTTTTTGAGACAGGGTCTTGCCATGTAGTCCGGGCTGGCTTTGAATTTGTGGTGCTCTGCCTGCCTCAGCCTCCCCAGTGCTGGAATTCCAGGTGTGTGCCACCACACCTGGCTGGGAACCAGGGAATACGGTGTTTCGCGTAGTGAAAGAGACAGAACTCCCAGCAAAGGGAAGAGGTAGAGGATTAAGGAGACGGTGGCAGAAAAACAGAAAAGCCGGTGCCTGAAATGGAAGGAAAGTCCCAGAAAGATGTCAGGTCAGAGGACAGGACAAGCGAGGGAGAGACAAATCTGAGCAGAATGAGCACAGAAGGAAGAGAAAGTGAAGAGATGCTGAGGGAGAGGAAAAGGCCAGGACCAGGGGAGAGGTGGGGACGGAAGCCAGGCAGGGACAAGAGCTACGGAGAGGCTGCGGCCTGACCTGGGCCCGAGACCCCCTTGGGCGGCCGCCGCCAGGGCCGGGTCTCCACACACCGTGTGGAGGGCACAGTGGGTAGCACAGGCCTGCTCTGCTCCTGGTGGGCCTCCTGGGCTCCCCACCCTCCCGTTCTGTACTGCTGGGTGTCTGGGCCTTGGGTCGAGCTGAGGGTAGGGAATTGGGGTGCTCTCACCCCAGGGTCCCTCCATTCCTGGGCAGAGAGTCAGTGGCAATGCGCCCAAGTACTGATGGCAAGGGACACCGTGCTGGTGCAGGGAAGGTTCTGCTTTCCTTAAAGTTCTAGGGTGGGGGCAGGGCTGGTGGCGCACACCTGTAATCCCAGCACTCAGGAAGCTGAGTCAGGAGGATCGCTGTGAGTTCGAGGTCAGACCTTGTTTCATAGCACAAAGAACAGCCTCCCCAAATGATAAATAAATAAATGGCTCAGCTAACTCTGAGAGTTCTGGGTACCAGCACCACACTGCTGCAAAGCATGTGTCATGGGACTCACGAGGATCTGGGAGGCCAGGTCTGCAGGGAGGGACAGAGAGGTCCCTTGGGTGTGGAAAGTGGGAAGGATGCCGGAGGTGGAAACATGTCACCACGGTGGCCCTGTACATGTGCGGGGGACCACAGGGAGCAGGTGGCAGCAGCATGGGAGACACACGAGGGCCTGGGTGGGGACAAGCTGTCACTTGGAACAGGTCCGTCGGTGGCCTGAGGACAGAGTTCCCCGTTCCGCTGGCTCCCTGAGGGATGCACTGGTGATCTGCTGTATCAGAGGTGCGCTGTTTTCACACTTGCTGCCAGGATGCTCTCTGTGGCTCCTTGCACTCTGATGTCAGAGCCTCCTGTCTTTGCACTGGACTTGCTCGAGCCAGCTCGCTTTGTTCCAAACATAGCTTGCTGTGTGCTCAGGCGAGCGATTCTGCCTCCCAGCCCAGCCCCTCAGTCCCCTTCATGCCCATTGTCCGAGGTGGCCTTGGCCAGGCTGGATGGCAAGTGGTTTGTGTCTCCACTCCTGGGAGAGGCCAATAAGCAGCTGGCCTTGGGTGCCCTCAGCCGAGGGGCTTTGCCGCTGTTTCTGACCTCTGGTTTCATGGCATACCAAATGCTTCACACAGGCAGGTCGAAGGTATCCTCAAAAAACACAGGTTGGAATTGTAGAAAATGTATTACAGTAAAAGACGCATTGCTGTTAATTCCCCTCAAAGCCCTCCCCTTGTTTTGAGCACACTTGTCCATTGTTCTTGTGACTTCCTGAAGCAGCTCTGGAAGTCCTCTTTCCTGAGGGTCTTTAGTTGTGTGGTCCTGGCTGCCTAGATGTCCTGAATGGGTTCAAAACATTTCTCTTTCATGGTCATTGTGACTTTGGGAAAGAGCCAGGAGTCCCCTAGTACCAGCCCTGGGGAGGAAGGCGGTGAGGACGCAATGTGTTTTTACGAGCCGGCCTCTCCACTAGATGGCACTCGGCAACAGCAGCCACCATATTTTTGATCCCATCTCGCAGACATCCCACTGTGACACGCGGAGCCTCTCCTCTCCAGGCTGAGACCTTGGGACCAGGTCTCCTGATTTCTGCCTTTGACCTCCAATGCCCATCTTCCCTTCTGTCGCCTGAGTTCATCCCACAAATGTGCCAAGCTACTCAGTCAAAGCTTTCAGACAAGTACAGAGGGCCGGTGGTAAAGAATTTACCAACAGGCAAAGAATGTAGGAAAGACAAGGTTTTTTTTTTGTTTGGTTTGGTTTGGTTTTGGAGCCTCACTGTGTAGCCTAGGCTGACCTATAAGGAGCATTTTGGACACATCCATCAATATACACATTAATTTAAATCACAGCATTTAAAAGTCAATTTACCCATCAGTCAAGATGTTCCCCAAAGGGCCTTCGACCACTCTTCCAGGCTGTTATTTTTCCAGACAGGGTCTCACTGTATAGTTCAGGCTAAGCTTGAACTCACTATGTAGCCCAGGCTGACCTCAATCCTCCTGCCTCAGCCTCCTGAGTGCCACCATGCTCGGTTCTGGGCTGTTGCCACTTGAGCAGGGTCAACCATATTTCACCCCTGCCAGGACCAGGGCAGGCTGTGTGTGACCCAGAGAGCCACTCGTTGCCCTGTAGCCTGACTTACTCTGCACCAACTCGGGTTAGGGCTTTGGCTGGAGTTCAGACCTCTTCCCTTTGCCTTTCTTTTGCCAATGCTTCCTTTGGCATTCACATTTTGGTGGGTTTTTTTCCACTGCATGGAGTTACGGAGGGGGGTCCAGGTGTGGTGAGAGACTTGGCTGGTGCAGCAGCGCTGGGGACCTGGGGATGGCCTGGAGGGGTCCTCAAGGACACTCACGTCACTCTGGAGTTGAGCAGACAGGGACAGGGTTTAGAATCACACGTGGCACCATTCAGGGAGGGCAAAGTCCCAGACCTTGCAGCTCACACTGGCACCTGGCAGAGCTGCACAGGAATTTCCCTGAGGCCTGGGGATCGAATCCAGGCCGGTCCTTAGGAGCGCAGGGGTGAGGTACAGGGCACAGAGGACGCCAGACCCATCATGCATCCTGGTGTAGGTGCTATACTCACCCAACTGCTGTCCCTTACAGGGCTAAATTGTTTTCGCTAGCTTCCTGAGAAATGCCGTGGGGATTTTGATTGGGATTGCATTGAATCTGTGTATCAGTCTAGAAAGTATGGCCATTTTGATTAGGTCACGATTAACTATTAATTTTTCTGATGCTATTATAAATGATATTGTTTCCTAATTGCTTTTCTCAGTGAGTTCATTATGCGCTTAATTTATACTTTCTTTAAATTCACCAAGTACTTATAGAACTGCTGTATCTTTACTGATACCATCTCAAACCTGTCTGTTGTGTAACTTATGGTTTTACTACTCCCCAGTGCCTCCTGTGGTGTTGGAGGGAATGGGAGATTTGGGAGGCATCTTACTGCCTTGTCTTTTTCATGTTTCTTTTCTTTTCTTTCTTTCTTTCTTTTTTTCTTTTGGTTTGCTTTTTTGTGCTGGGGTTTGCAATCCTTTGACTCAGTCCCCTGTATTTTGGGTGTGAGCCACAGCACTGGCAGTCCAGTGTATATCGGCACGGAGAGGAAGACTCTTCTGCCCACTGCTCCGTTACCTCATCTGTGGCAGTAAATTCAGCCACGATGGCATCATATGGCTGCCGGACACAGACAAACTCTAGGAACCACTCATGCACAGCCCTGCGCCAAAACAAAGAGGACTCTGGTTCTAGTGAAAACAGCCCCACCCATATTTACCTGCAGTAAATCAGAGCGATGCTTGCTGCTGGATGTTGGCAGCCGTGCCAGAGCTCAAACACACCAACAGGTCAAATGCCTTCTTCCTCGGGACGCCCCTGCTGACAATTACTCCCACGGAACCTGGCTTTCCACAACACGACACAGGCCCCATCATCTTCCTGGTCTGAACCCGAGGCTCCCAGGGGATCCCAGGAGATCACTACTTGCTCTCACCCTCCCAAGGCTCTGCTACACCCAGTCTCCATGGAAGGGATCACTTCGGGCCGAATCAGGACTCTCCCTGGGTGTTCCCTCAGTCAGGCTGGTTCTCTTCATGTCCACTCTGCTGCTCTGTTTGATCCGCAGCGCCGTGGATCTAAGCCATAAGACTTAGAACAGCTAGGTAGAAGATTAGCAAGGAAACAGAACACTTTAGCGCTGTAAACCAGCAGGAGCCATTGGACATCTCCAGAGGACTCCACTGAGTAAGAACAGGACACACGCTCTTGTCAAGGACCTGACTTTGTCCAGGAGACTCCATCTTCAAGTCCAGCACGGAAGCCGCTCTGTCTCAGTTGTCCAGGTTTCAGTCCACAGTCGGCGGCTCCAAGGCAGGGTGGCAGACTGCGTTTATTTTCATCTGGTGTGGTCATTCGTGCTCATCAGGACAGGGCTTCGGGACTGTCCACGTTTAGGGACAGACTCTGTGGTTTGGGTTCCAAAAGTCCCACTGCCCGTGGGCTTGGGGCGTTCAGAGGAGGAAGGAAGACAGACTGGAGTTAATCATTCAGCAGCTGAACTTCTGTTCCAGCCAGGCACCGTGGGCCGGGAGATGAGTGAGTCACAGTCCCTAAAGCGCTCTTTCTAGGCACCTGTTGAAGGTCACATGGCCCAGAAGAAGGCAGCTGGGACCAGGACCTAGGTCTCCCACCTCCAGGTTTCCACAGCAGTGCTCAACCTTTGACCAGCAACCTGCAGGCAGGACAGAGGCACTCGCAGCCCCCTCGGGACTCAGTCCCTCACTCAGTAACGAACAGCTTTCCAAGGAAGCCTGGCTCCGGTCTGCCACTGTCCCACGCAGTGCTCTGCGCAGCCTGGGAAGAGAGAGCAGGCATGGCGAAGGCTCCCGGAGCTAAGAGCCGGCCAAAGGAAGACCTTCACTAATCACAGGGAAGTTCACAAATGCCGCGGTGGCGAGTGCTATGTGGAACTTGTGCAGGGTGAGGATCATGAGGGCTGGGCTCAGGGCCTCACACCTGCGATCCCAGTACTGTGGGAGGCTGAGGCAGGAGGATCACAGGTTGGAGCACCCAGCCTGGGCAATTTAGCAAGACCCTGTCTCAAAATATATTAAAAAAAAAAAAAGAAGGGCTGTCACTGTGTGAAGACCCTGGGTTCAATCCCTGGTACCACTCCCCAAATAAATAGATAAATAAATAGATATGCAGCAGAGAGAGTTGGGGAGCAGATGCCAGGCACAATGGGGCAGGGAAGATCTCGTGTAGTAGGGAAAGAGCTCAGCCCCTTGTGTGACTCACAGAGGCAGGCAGGGATAGGTCAGTGGGGCCTTGGGAGCCGTGGATGGTTGCACACATTAAGCAACTCACAGCAGCAGACAGTGAGGGCTTTCAGGGACAGGAAGGACGAGTTCCGATTTGGGAATGATCTTTGGGTTATTTCTGTGGATACAAAGGTAAACGGGAGGCCACGGGCGTCAGGTGGAGGGTGCTGTGGTGTGGCCTGGGGACCGCAGCAGAGATCTGAAAAGTGCATGAACAACAGCAAGTAGATTCTGCTCCAAGAAGGACACAGGACCTAGGATTCCAGACAAGGACTCCAGGCCTCTGAGAGGTCAGGTAACTTCCCCAAGTCACACAGCAAATGCTGCTTAGACTGAACCACTTCGTGTCTCACCAGATTCTGTCATTCGTTGCAGGTGATAAGCTCAGAAATCAGTTTGCTAGAGAGGTCAAAGGCAGGAGACGCAGGAAAAACTAGCAATAGGTAAAGAGTCGCCAATCTCACTTTCCCACTTCTTTTCCCAGTCAGAGAAGAGTTGGCCCATGTTGAAGGGAACCCAGGGATCAAAAGTGCCAGTCCTCCCCTGCTTTCCCTTTTGTGAGACAGGGTCTCACTATGTAGTTCAAGCTTGAACTCACTGTGTAGCTCAGGGAGCTCCCAGGGACCCTCCTGCTTCAGCCTCTCCAGTGCTGGAACTATAGACATGAGCCACAACAACTGGCTTTCTCAGGGTGTTTAGAATCAACATCTTTCCTGTTTTGAATTCTAGGAGCCGCAGAGGAAAAGTACCCAGGGACAGACGCAACACTGGTCACGGTTGATTGGAGGCATTCACACAGAGACAGCCTCTGGCTCCTGACATGCGGTGGCCACCTTGGGCCCCGTGTCCCTCCCTGGCTGGTCCTCATCTTTCTGTCCACCCTCCCGGGTGTGGATTCACCTTCTCCCCAAGGCATTCTCACAGCCAGGGCCTGCGCTGCCAACTGAGAAAAGACAGCATAAACAGTGACGCGTGTGGGAGAGACAGTTGATGAGTTTCCCACCTTCAATTCCAGGAATAACTCAAGACAAGCAGAGCAGGTGCTAAGAATAAATCTGCCTGGAGCACCTACGCCAGGCCGGGGCTCTGTTTTCTCGGCAGGGAGTGTCTCCCGCTCAGCAGGGATGTTGCTTCTCCTCTGGAGTCAGCAGCATGCACTCACTGTCGCCCTCTCATCCTGGCTGGGTCACCCAAGGGCTACCTGAAGGGACACTGGGTGTCAGCCTCGGTCCTGGAGCCCAGAGAGGCTCGAGCCCCCACAGGAGAGGGAAGTCCCTGCCCGAGGCGGTGGGGGCATTGGCCCTGAGGCAGAGGCACAGAATTTCTCACACTGTCCTCTTGGCTGTGACACACCTGTCGTCAGACCACAGGCTTGTCTCCCCACGCGGCCAGTGGCCACACAACTCACTCCAAGGGCAGAAAAGGAGACTCGGGAAAAGTGACCAGAAGATCCTGGCGTCACTCCGCTGGCCCCTGAAAATGTGCCCGACTGTCTCTGTCCGGGAGCTGGTCCTGTGCAGGCTGGGCACTTGGGGCTGCCGTTCTGCTCACATCAGCTGTCCACCACCGATGGCCAGAGCCGAGCGCCGAGTCTGGCCGTGGCTCCTGCCGTGGGGACCCAGCCCTGCAGCTGACAGATGTGTGACATTGGCCAAGCGGTGCCCACCTCACCTGAAGCTCCTCACCTGGCGCAGGGCTGCCGTGCACGACAGCAGCTGCCAAAGACCACACAGGCATGCAGTAGGGACGATGTCATTATTCACGGAGGCACAATGGGCTCCCAAGGGCAGGCTCACACCCAGGGCCAGCTGACACACAGGAGCTCAAAGTGCCTCCCACAGAATCTGCCTGCAGTGTAGTTGAGCCTTGGTCATGCCGTCCCTTCTTAAGGACACTGTCCCGCCGTGTAGACAGCGCCCTTCCAGGGACTCTGAGCCACCAGAGGCCTCCTCTAAGGAGGGCTGCACTGGGACCCATGTGCCTGGCCTCATCACTGCAGTTGTGAGAGGGACTGGAGGGATTCTAGTCACAGTCCCCACAGCTCTGGTGAGGACACTGGATGTGTGTCCCAGGATCACTTAGATGGAATCTAAATGTTTTAATTTGCATCTCTCGAGTGACCAGTGTTATGGACCATTTTTTAATGTAGTTATTTGCTGTTTCTGCTTCTTCATCTGAGAAGTGTCTGTTCATTTCAGATGCCTATTTTTGGGCTGGGTCTTTAAATTTGGGAGGGGTCCTGATTTTGTGTGTGTGTGTGTTCTTTATATATCCTAGATATTAGTCTTTTGTCTGAGGAACAGCTGGAAAAATTATTTTCCCCACTCTCTGTGTTGTCTCTTCACTCTGTTTGTGGTATTGTTTGCTTTTTAATAAGATGAGGTCCAAGTTGTTGATTCTTCGTTTTATTTCCTGCACAATCAGGGTTTTGTTTATAAAGTCTCTGCCTACACCAGTGTCTTCGAGAGTTCAACCTATTTTCTCTTCCAGCAGATTTGGTGTTTCTGTTTCAATATTTAGATCTTTGATCCATTTTGATTTTTGTTAAGTGCATGGTGAAAGATAGGGGTCTAATTTTAATATTCAGTATGTGGAAAGCCAGCTTTTTCCAGCACCATTTGTTAAAGAGGCTGTCTTTCTTCCAGTGTAGGGGTTTTCCTCCCTTGTCAAAGATAAGGTGGCTGAGTGTGCTTGGAGTTATTTCTGCTTCTTCTAATCTGTTCCCTTGGTCCTCAGGTCCGTTTGTTTGCCAACAGGCACGCTGCCTGTTCCCCTGGAACTTGGCCTGAACTTTCTGTCAGAAATTATTTTTATTTTTTGTTTGTTTGTTTGTTTTTTGAGATAGGGTCTCACTTATGTAGTTTAGACTGACCTAGAACTCACTGTGTAGCCAAGGCTGGTCTCGAACTCACAGTGATCCTCCTGCCTCAGCCTCCCGAATGCTGGGATTACAGGCATGTTCCACCAGAAGCCCAGTTTCTGCCAGAAATTGACAGAAGACATGAATGAGAAAAAAAAATGTATAACAGCATGAACCAGATATTCCACTCACAGAAATTATATTAAGGAAGTGAGCTGAAATAATGAAAAAACATTATGCAGAGAGAGTCATCCAAGCTTTATTTGTTACCACAACACCCCTGAAGCAGCTTGAGGGATTAAACATAAGGTTCACCTGAGATGGAATGTTAGTTGATTTCCCCCCACTTTGGTGCTTAGGACATAAAATGAGGGCAACAATAATTCTATGGGCAAGGTTTTTAAAATCTAAACCTTATTTGGACATCTCAAGTTTGGCAATTTTATCAAACATCATGCAGTCACAGGGTTCAGAGTCCTAGAAATAAATGGATTCTGAATAAAGGAAGTTTCCTCCTCAGCCTGAATCAGAGTTGTAGAGTTTCAAGGACCTCAGAGTCAGGTCAGTCCAAGCCTTTGTCCACATGGGTTCAGACATTATGCTCCCAGGGGGTATTCACTGTTGATTAAGTGCACAAGCTTACCTAGGAGTCATTTCCTCTTCAATAAATCAGAGCTGATTCATATGCACTTTTACTCACTGGAAAGTTCGAGTGACCCACTTCTAAGAGGAAGTGCTGAGGTCACGGTCAACCCTAGGAACTCGTTGGAGCCTGAATCTCCCCGGGAACTGGTCTCCTTGTGAACGTGGTGGGGCATGCCTGTATTCTCAGTTTTAAATAACTTGTGTTCAGTATATTGTTACAATATTTTATTTTAGTATTAGCTATTGTTAATCTCTGATGTGCCTAACATCCAAATTAAGCTTTATCATGGGTTGTGTGTAAGTAGCGTGCATGTACAGGAAAACCTAGCGTATGTTACCCTCACTATTATGAGAAGCTTTGGTATCCACTGAGGTGCTGGACCATACCCCCTAGGACGGGGAACACCTGCAGTTCAAGTTGAAAGAATTTGCACAGCTTGTGGCAAAGGCACTGCCTCCTGGCAGCCCCACCATGGAGTTTACAAGGGTCCAGTCATCGTTACAATTTAATTTCGATTTAATTTTGCAAGGAGCACAAGCGGGAGTCAGAAAAGTCTTACTCTTTGTATTTGGGGTAGGGGATGTAGTTTTCTCTGGATACTTTCAACATTGTTTGCTCCAGTCAGTGACCACCGCGGGACCCAGACGACAACGCCAGCTCTGCCATCACCGAGGACGGATGGGCCACTTGTGGTGGGTCCCTCTACACAGAGTGGTGTTGCCTCGTTCTCCCTCCTCAGTTTGGTCCGCAAGGGGAGAAGTTCTGACGTCAAGCCCAACTTCAGTCGTCCACGAGAACCAGGCCGCCCAGGTCTCTCCCGCTGAAGATTCTGACAACGAGACCTTGCCAAACACCACGCCGTTCCCTGCTTCCTCAGTGGGCATCTCCAGCACACCCTCCCATGGGCCTCTTAAAACTGTTCAGACGATGACATCTACTGCCAACCCCAAGACAAGTCCAACATATATGGGTCCGACACGCAGACCTGGTGGCCCAGTTGACTCTACGTTGACGTCATCATTTCCACCTACAAATTACTCTTCAAGCGAGACCACTCTGGAAACTTCTTCACCACCTAAGCATCCTATTCTACAGCCGTCCGCAGACTTCTATTCCTCCGGCTCTACTTCCTCTGCTAAGACAGGCACAGGTCAGACCACACCCAATTTCTATACTTCACTCAGTGACCCTTCATTTACCAACCACCCCGTGCTCCTGCAGGAAGTCCCACCTGGAGCACCACCACCCGCCTCCAGGGCCGCACCACTGCCCTGTCTGTTACCAGCCCTTCCTCGCCATCCGCACCATCCTCAGGCTCCTCAGGTAGGTGGGGAACCCAGGGTCTCCAGCCTGGACAGTGGCCCTGGCCTGCAGTCGCCCTGGAGGAGGGCTTGACAACTTCGGGGAGTAGCCCAGCAGGCCAGGGCCGAGGTGCTGGCCGAGCCATCCCTGTCCTCGCTCCCTGTGTGTCCAGGAGTGACCACGACCTCCCGGAGCACAGTGACAGCTCCACTCCCCACAACCTCGCAAACCCTCTGACCTCCACCCCCAGCACACGCCGGGCTCCCACTCCACACCCCCCTCGGGTCCCGTCAAGCCAGAGCCTGGTGAGTGTCGCCCTCCAGGTGGGGCTCCCCCACCCCAGGTGCGGAGGGTGTGGTTGTGGGTTGCCAGTGAGGTTCCTTGTGTGTAGTTGGATGGAGCAGCCCCACTTGGCTACTGCAAAGCCAGCTGCTCCCCATGGTCTCCTCTGAGGAATGGAGTGATCCCAGCCTGCTCGTCCAGTCCCTGCTCCCTTAGATCAGAAAGCCTTAGGGACAGCGAGGCAACACCAGAGTGGGGCTCTGAGGAGGGCTTTGTGCATGGCATTGGGCTGAGAGCCGGCAGGAGGGAAGTAGTCCTGGTGCCACTCATCAAAGGATGGATCGGTGGTCCTGTGGGTGCAAGGCCAGGGCACTGGGTGCACACGGTGGAAAGCCCCTGAAGGGTGTGGGGACAGGTTCAAGGAAAGCAGGAGGCTTCCCAGCAAGACTGAAGAGGAGCCGGGCCTGGTGGCGCACGCCTGTAATCCCAGCACTGAGGCTGAGGCAGGAGGATCGCTGTGAGTTTGAGACCATCCTGGGCTACATAGTGAGTTCCAGGCCAGTCTCAACTACACAGTGAGACCCTGTCTCAAAAAACAAAACAAAACAAAACAACAACAACAAAAAGAGTGAAGAGGAGTTGGGGGAGAGGGAGCCCCCCAAGCAAGGAGGAGGGTCTGGGCAGCTGGAGCAAGGCATGCAAGGGAGAAACGAGCTCTAGGGTTGCATGGAAAGGAGATCCCCGAAGAATCTGAGGTTGCTTGAGGTAAGGTGAAGGTCAGTGAGAAGGCTGGTGTGTGCAAGAATCCCATAAGGGGAGCTAGCGGGGGACACAGACTTGCGTTGTGTGGACGGCACCGCGGCGGCTGGTGCGGACCAATTTGCCTGGAGTTACTTACAGAAGAAGCCCCAGGTGAGCTGTGTAGGGACCGCTGTGGTATTCCAAGTAAGACCAGATGAGGGCGCCAATGGGTCGGTAGCTACGGGTCTGGAGCAAGGCTCACTTGAGAAATTTGGGATGTTTCTCATCCTGGAGCCCAAGCACCTCTAAGGAGGCCTTAGGACAAATTCTGGGGAGTTTTCAAGTTTGTCTGGAGAAATGCCGTCTTAAGAAACATGTTCCATTCCATGAAAAGGTCCTTCCAATACAAGTCTTCGCAGTATCAGAGTTTTGTCTTTTAAAGAATTATGGCTACTAACCCCAAGGCAGAATCATGTGTCGGTATTCAGACAGCAGGGCTTGTTTCTCTCAAGACTGGAAAATGGCAAGAGGACCAATTGGGGGCGAAGCTGAGGAGAGGGGCTAAATTCCTGTGGAAAGGCAGAGGTGGGGCCTCCCAGTTCAGGTCTCCTGGAACCCCTTAAAGAACAGAGGACAAGCATGAGGAACAGTGGGGGAATCCCTGTGAGGCCCCCACGAGTGTGAAAGAAGGTCAAGGCCTGCATGGGCTTCATACTGTTCTCCCTCCTGGCCCAGGTGTCCCCCTCTTCCAGGATGAGATAAGCCATGGAGACCACCCCTTTATCCGGATGGCTGTGGACTTTACCTCATGGCTGTTCAGGATCAAGATTGGCTTCCCCCTCGGCTCCTCTCTGTGGGATTCCTGCTCTGTGAGTCTCCACCTGCAGCCTAAGTAGCAGGACCCACAACTGTGCTCCCAGGGCCCTGCTTCTCTGTCCAGCTCAGAGACAGCCATGCGGAAGGGGAATGGCTGCCATCTTTGTTAGGCGCCCTCTTCACTGTCAGGGCTGTAGCTGGGGAAAGAGGAAGCAAGGCAAAGATTCTCTTTCCAGGTGGACAAAAATGTCCTTACCCAAGTAAAAAGATCACAGGGCCTTTCTAGGAGTAAGAAGCTTTCCCTGGGAAATACAACTTGGTGCCGTTTTTGTTTTCTTTCTTTCTTTCTTTTTCTGCGGTACCAGGGATTGAACTCAGGACCTTGCGCTTGTGAGGCAGGTGCCACTGAGCTAAATCCCCAGCCTGCCATTTCTGTTTTCTAGGATTACTTCCTTGTTCTCTGACCCACGAGTCTCAGAATACACTTGGTACATTGTGGCCTCTGTTTCCTCAGGGTGGTGACTTAGCAGCGCACAGTGAAAGGGTGATACCACAATTAGACTGAGGATGGCAAATCCTTTTAGCCCCACACACTTCAGGATGAGGCTGAGGGGCTTCACCCCTCTGTGAAGGGCTAGGCCACAGCCAGAGGCCTACAAGAGGGAGGAACGCAGCCCTCAGGAGTGAGGAATGTCCTCAGGAGGAGATGTGTGAGGTCAGCGTGGGAAGAGCTTTCCCAGCAGGAAGGACACCGGTGGGGTGATCTTCCAGGCATTGCTGACATCTCCCACCTTCTTAGAGAGGCCCTTGGGGGTGTCGTTTCTGAGAAGCAGGACCAAGGCTGGAACATCTCGCCTCCTCCCTCCATGAATACTAACCAAGAGCCCGGGTGCTCAGTTCACAGATAATGGCCAGCTCTTTTTTCCGGAGTCAGACTACCAGATCTTCCGCTACCCCAGCCCACCCCCAGGAGGCTTCACGAGACAGGACTCTGTTGCAACTGTGGCTCCATTCTGGGGTGATGCTGATTTCTCCAGCCAGAAGGGAGAAATCTTTTACCAGGTGGGTTGCTAAAGCCCAGTTGTCCAGCATCCTGCCGGGAGAGGCCAAGGGCTGTGTGAAGCGACCCAGCGTGTTCCTGCTGTCCAGCCTGAGCTCCAAGGGCAGGGACTGGGCTGAAACATGGTAGCCGGGAGGAAGCCAAGGAGGAGTGTTAAATAGACTTGGGAATGCTCCACCTCGACCACGTGAAGACCTGAGGTGGCGGGGGTGAGGGTTGGAAATTCAGCAGTTGGTTTTAAAATAAGGCTGTACAGTGTCAGTCCTGCAGAGCCAGGCAGGGTCCGTGCTGCGCTTCTGGACTGGTCCACAATCCCAGGCAGCGGATCCAGGTAAGGAAGGCCACTGCAGCGGTTACATTTGTGCCACATCCACGAGCAAGGCACTGCAAAGGCTCTGAAGATGGAGGGACCCAGACCTGTGCTCAAGGAGTCCACCAGGTGGTAATAGCAGTCACACTGGCCCTGCCATCAGAGCCAGAGCTACAAGATGCACGAATTCAAGTTCACAAGACTTGGATTTGCAGGCTGGGGATCCCGCCCCATTCCATGCATCCCAGGTTGTCCTGCAGACCTTAAAGCCAGAAGAGGCCTAGGGCAGGGAAAGGTGGTGGCACAGGGCACTAAGCAGAAGTGGGGGCCCCTCAGAGTTGAGGAAGACCCTTATTTCATTGCTCTTATCTTCCTCCCTCTTCTAGGAATATGAGACACTACAGTGAACCCAACCGGTTAGTCCGGCAGGTGGAGACTTGGATTGAAAATTTCACAAATTCCTGGGGCTATAAAGCCAAGTGGACCCTAGAGGTCACATGGGTCAATGTCTCTGCCTACCCTGCCCAGCGGACCTCTGGGGTGAGTGTACCACAGACAGCTCCCCACACACTTTCTGGAAGTCAGAAAAGGCAGAATTGTAGCTAGAGGTGGCTACTCTGCTAGAATCCTCGCTGACCCCAGGAAAGTCACTAGTTTACAGCAGTCGCCATGGCGACCCATTTTCCTGAGCACACTCAGTGGCCCAGGCCGGCCTCAGCCCGCTATCTACTTCACCACAGCCAGGAACAGGAAATGGCCCTTGTGGTGCAGAATATCTATTGCCTTATATCGGTCAGCTTTCGGTTACCATAACAAAACACCTAAAACCAGCCACTTGCAGGAAAGAATTTTACTAGTCCACGGTTCTGAGGCTGAAAGTCTAAACACCACGGTGCAGGTGCACTACTCTGAGCACCACACAGGAGAGCCACACCTCCAGCAAGTAAACCTTGCAGGGGACACATGTACACTGTGTCCAATCGGGTCAGCCCGGGACTGAGGTCTTCCTGATCCCTCACGCTGGCTCCTAAACACTGTGTCACCACACAAGCTCTGGAGTCTGTGATCGCCCCTCTCACCCACTCTGGACAAGGGACGTGCCTTGGGAGCACCTCCAACTCACTCCTGCAGATCTCCACACCATCCAGGTGGAGGGGACACCAGGACGGTATCCTTAGCCTTCCCCAAGGGAGCTGACGAATCCTCTCTCAGCAGTGGTGTCTTGTGTGAGGGCTCAGTTCCATAACCTTCCCTTCCAAAGCCTCTTCTGGTTGGACTGCAGCCCAGGGCCCCTTATTCCCTTTCCCTGGAAATAGCTACAGAGAAGGTGAATCCAACGTGCAGGTGCTTCAACGCGCCAAGCGGGTGCTGCCCTGCCCTGCCCCATGGCAGACTTGCCAGCGTTCCCAGCCCACAGCGTTGCTCGGGGTAGACCTGGCACCAGTGGTGTGTGTGATGGGGGTGCTGTGGGCAGGCAGAGGGACATCAGGGAGGAGATCCAGGTCCCTCACAGGCATCCCCACGATTGTCTCCCTCCACCCCTCAGACCCACACCTGCCAAGCCATCCTCTCCACGGACGGCAGCAGATCCTGGGCCCTGTTTCTGTACCAGAGTGGTGGGATGCAGTGGGATGAGGCCCAGCACCAGGGCAACCCGGTCCTCATGGGCTTCCCCAGGTAGCACGGGCACAGCGGGGCACTCCGAGGCGGTGACAGAGAGGCGCAGCCTGCTGAGCTCGCCCCCATCCTGGGACGAGGGGTGACGCCTCCCCATGGACCCTCTCATCTTCCGTTTCCAAGGCCAAGACCCCCCCCATTCATCCTGCTGCCACCACCCCTGGTCCCTGGGCATTGTAGGAATTCTGACTTCCTGGTTTCCCCTTCCCAAACACCCTAAGAATGATGGCCAACATTTATCACACCGAGAACTTCATGTTCATAATTGTACTGATTCCTGAAACCAACTTTGAGGCAGATATCTTTATGAGATACAAGTAGGTGAGTAATGTCCCCAGAGTTAGGCAGAGTGGGGACTGAAGCCAGATATCTGAGTCTGGAATCTGTCTTGTCATGAAGGTCACGTGTCATTTGTTACAGATAATGGCTCCAAAGGCTCTTCCCTTACATTATGGTGTGTTCTGAGGGACTTACAAATGTCACTGTGCTGAGTCCTCACCATGCTGTGAGGTAGTGCTACTGAAAGCCCCTCTTACTCCGACGAGAACACTAAGAAAGAGGTTAGGTAACTTGCCTGTGGTCCCCACGCTAGCCTTAGCAGGTGGATCCATGACTGACGCCAGGGGCCAGCTCTGAGCTGTCACAGCTCAACGTCCCTGTCCATCCCTAGGTTAAGGAAAACAGACAGCAAGGAGGCCTGAACCCTGCGGCACTCTGTGCGGATGTGGAATTAGGAAGGACCTCCCAGCTGACTGACCTGTGAAAGCACAGGTGGCTTTCGGCTGAGAGGAAGAGCCTGTGTGTGACAGGGGCCTGAGTCTTTTCTCCGCCCGCAGCGGAGACGGCTACTTTGAGAACAGCCCACTGAGGTCCAGGCCACTGTGGGGAAGTATCGTCCAGACCAGTTCCTGGATCCCAAATTAGGTACAAGCACCACTGCGCCAACCTTGCTGGCTCGGTCTTCTCTTGTCCCCTGTGCTGTGTGCACCACGGGAGTCCTGGATGGCAGGTCCCTGACCTGCTGGTCAGGAGCAGCGAGTTCAGTCTACACTGTTACCCACAGTGCCATCCCCCCCTCGTGCCATGAGGAAGCCCAGCAGGTTGCAGTGGGGTCCAGATGTTGGAAGGGAGGACAGGGGTCATGGGTTGGGACAATACACCAAGTGCTCTGTCTCTGAGCTGATTTCGAGCCCCAATGAGATCCTTAAGGGAACCTTCCAAGAGGGGTCCCAGAGGCCTGACATTCAGTCAGTCAACATGGAAAAGAAAAAAAAAAAAAAAAAAGAGGAAAAAGACCAGTATCTTTGCTCTCAGAGAGCATGGAGTCTGAAAAAAGTCTTCTGTGCCCAGAGGCGAACCACGGTGCTGCCTGCATGGCTTGACACCATGCGCAGAAACCCCAAGGGAAAGAAATCACAGGGGCTGGCTGACCGTGTACTGAAACCTCGAGCCAGGACAACCCCTCCTCCTCTAGGCTGTGGGTCCCGGAGAAGAGAAAAGTGGCTGAGACAGCTGGGCCACCGAAGTGCCCGCGGTATGCAGAACGCAGGAGCAGCACAGGGGTGGGGGATCAGGTCTGTCTTTATTGACTACAGTGCACGGGCGGGTAGTGAAGGACATCGCAGGGTGCAGAGGAAGCCCCTTCCCCACAGTGAGAGAGCCAGGATCCTGCATTCACTTCCGGGTTAGGGGGCGAGCCGGCTGACCTTCGTGGGAACTTTCTGAGTTCTGTCGGCAGGCTCGGGCTACAGTTGCTCTCCGCGCTGTTCCTCTGATATTCTTCAGCTGCTCTGGATGTGCAGTAAGGAGAGTTGGGCAGGAGGCAAGCGGGCTTGCAGTTCACATTGGAGCTGGAGAGTGGAAGGAGCCAGGTGCTAGTCCAGCCCATCCGGCCAGGACAGGACAGCAGGAGGGCGTATCCCATGCCATTATGTCATGGACACCTCACACCAACCTGGTAAAGCGGCTAGTCTTATCCCCATTTTATAGGGGAAGAACTTGCCCACGGTTACAAAGGCAGGGTCTGGAATTCATACCCGGGTCGATGTGGCCCCATGATCTGAACATAACGCAGGTAGGATCCACTGTTCCCTCTTCCCTTCGTGGTTTGACCTGGATCCTGGCACTTACTGATTCCATCTATCCGGCCCTGAGTGCTGCGGGACCGACTGCCCCCAACCAGCCTCATGGCCTGCCACCTGCACCTCCGCTGCCTGGACCACTCCCGATCTCCCCGGCTCTGGGCCCTGAAATAAGTTCCTGTTTGTGGACTCAGAGCTGACCTTCTACCCCGGCTCCCCGCTTCATCTCCATTCACACCGGCTACTACTTTGATTTTCCTGGGCAGAGGGCAGTTATGTATGTGGGAGTCTCACAGCAAACCCCTGAGCCTTGATAAGGGAGCCCCTCCACGAGGGAGTCTTGATGAGCCTCCCTGCCGCTAAGGGAACTCGAGGACCCAGGTGTTGCCTCTTCCTGGCCCTGGGAAGGGGTCTGTGGGTTCAGAGCTAAGCTCAGCCAACTGCTCCCACTGAGGGCTCTGACTTTGAACCAGGTGACTGAGGGACAGAGGCAGAGGCCCCTTGCATGGTAGGAGCAGCGTGATGTCCACTGGCTGTGGCTGCACCCAACAGTGCCTGTGGCCAGCAGGAGTGACGGTGTCCCAGGAGTGTCAAGCCCGCCCCTCTGGAGTTCCTTTGATTCTGTGCACCTAGGATTCCTATCAACAAATCCCCCTTGTACTTATGACAGATGGTGGGGTTTTTTTCTTTTTCTTTTTTTGCCTGCAATGAAGGATGCCACTCACAACAAGTATATTCTGCCTCCATCTGCCGAGGGTCACCATCTCCTCATGATGCAGGCCTGTACTGTGGACAGCTGAGGGCACCACAGGGCACTGCCAAAGGGACTTGCCTGGGTCGGTTCTCACCACTGACACTGTGGGCAGAGCTCAGACGTCTCCCACTGCTTCACGCTGCCCCTCTCCCTTCATGAAATCTACACTGGCCCAACCCAGTCTAACCTTCCAGTGAGTCCCACCATTTCCCAAAGCTCTGACCCAAAAATTTCACCACTGGAAACGGTCCGATTATCTGAGTTAAGAGAATTTCACCAACTTGTTATACAAATGCATCCCAACCTTGGCCGGCGTCTAGAGCATGGGTCAATTTATTTTTCTACCTAGTATCCCAATTTCTGGGGCAAATCTGTGATGTGTGATCAAAAAATATGGTGAATGTTTAAAACATTTTAAAAATTATTACAATGAAAGACATTGCCAGAGGAGGCCAGGGATTTAGCTCAGTGTTTCTGCCTGGAAAGCTCAAGGACCTGAGTTCAATCCCCGGTACAAAAAAAAAAAGACACATTGCACGAATGATCCTGAAAATCTTCTCCAGACTCTGCCAGGAATGTGGACAGGGCACTGGGCAGAGGTTCAGGCTGTGAGTGTAGTCAGTCCAAGGAAAACGCTATGTAGGCTGCAAACAGCAAAGCCATAAAGGTGGGGCTGCCCGAGCTGCAGCTCACATCTCCCCGCCAGGTGCCACAGACGCCAGACATGGAACCTCGGGCCATAATTTTGGGCCGGCTGGGTTTTGTTTTTGATTTGGTCCACTTATTTTTTATCTCTCTATTCCTATCTTTTGGAATGAGAATGTTTGCTCTGTGCTGTTATATTTTTGGAAGTATTTAACTCTCTTTTATTTTTTATTTATTTAATTTTTTGGCCCCGGGGATCGAACTCGGGTCCTTGTGCTTGCGAGGCAGGAGTGGAACCGCTGAACTAAATCCCTGGCCCTAACTCTCTTTTATTTTTGAAGAGGCTCACAGGTGTGAGTTTGCCTTGAATCTCAGAGGAGACTTTGCACTTAGACTCTTCTGCAATGTTTAAACTGTTACAGCTTTTTTCATTTTTTACTTTGTTGACACAGGGTCTCACCGAGTCACTAAATCGTCCAAGCTAGGTTTCAAATTTGCAATCCTCCTTCCTCAGCCTCCCAGAATGCTGAGATTACAGGTGCGCACCAACATTCCTGGCTAGTTTGGTGACTCTTAGAGGCGGACTTAACCATATTTCGCTTTATGAAATGGACCTAAACCTTGTGGAAGCCAGGGGCAAAAATATTAGGTGTTAGATCTAAAATGTCCCCCAGAAGTCTCGTGTGTTCAGAGGCGGGACTCGAGGAAGGTGACTGGATCACAGGGGCGCTGTACTCCTTAGAGATGAGCTCATTGCGTTAGGAGGTGGGGTTGACGGAGGGGTGGGTCACTGAGGACCCGACCCGGAAGTGTGGATTCTTGTCCCTGGCTCCTCCCCTCCGTCTGCTTCCTGGCTGCCAGGAAGTGAGCCGCTTTCCTCCCCATGCTCTCCCACCGTGACCCGAGCCCAGTGAAACAACGAATCAAATAAACCTCTCTTCCTTTCAGTTGTAGCTATTGGGCATTTTGTCCCAGCGATGGGAAGGTGACTACTACGGAAGTCTCGTGGGCGTACAGAGGACATCTCTGTCTGAAGAATACTGGGAGCAGAGGAGACAGAGAAAAACCTCACGATCACGCTTGACCTGCTGGATTCAGCCCTAGCTGAAGCCGGAAGTGTCACCTGTCATTTCCGCAGCCCTGCCTTTTCCATGTGAACTCCTATGAGTTGGGTTTCTGCCACTTGCAAACAAGAGTCCTGTTTACCTGCCCATCAGTATCACTGGGCTCCATAGTAGACCATAGGGCCAGGGATTTAGTTCAGTGGTTCCACCACCTGCCTTGCAAACACAAGGACCAGCGTTTGATCCGTGGTACAAAACCAAAACGAAACAAAAACGGTAGCCCATAGAACTTTCCCTCAGGGGCTAGAAGGCCTGTACTTCCTAGCACCTGAAGGGACTGGGGCTGGGGAGAGGAATTTGTTTCCAATGCAGAGAAGAGGAGCGAAGGAAGGGAACCCAGGCAGAAGCAAAGCCAGGCAGGGGTCCTTTCACCCCATAACTGCTGCTCTGCATCCCACAGCCCCGAGAACCTCACCTCCACACCCTCGGCCCCCACAGTGCCCCTCACCTGCCGAACCAGCCTCTCTGCCTGTGTAGGCTCTGTGAGGTCTTCCATGGAGGCCACCCTCAACCGCACAAGGAGGAAGCCTCCGTCTGCACCTGCATGAAGGTTAAGAACAAGAAGGAAATACAGTCAAGGCAGGTTGAGAATCAGGTGGCATTTCGGCTGTCAGCCTCTGCCCCTCGCACCTAGGTGTGCACCCAGGAGCTCACACTGGCTTGCTACAAGGAGAAGACAGGATTACTCCCTCTCGGGGTTATCACACCCGTGACAGTAAAAGCCACCAGAAAAGGAAGCCTGAGGAGGACCAGTGGGCCTAGAAGGGTCTCAAGACCTGAAAGTCCTGGGTGGGCTGCTGGGGAAACGTCCAGCCAGAGATGCTGAGGGAGGCTGGTCTGGGGGTGCCCATAGCCAGTCCTGCTGGGTTTCAGTAGCTGGGGATGGAAGAGGACCTCTATTCCAGCTTTCCTGGCTTAGCATCGTATCAGAAACTTCTGTCTCTGGTGAAGCCCTCATCTCCTTCCCTGAAGCTGCCACCTTGAAGCTATTTCTTCCAATGATAATGCAATTTGATTTGACCTAGTAACTGCTCTTCTAGAAGTTTATCTTGCATGAAAAAGCACACATGGGAGAAATGGACTGTTTACTGTAGTGCTGTTTATCACAGCAACAAGCTAAATTGCCACCCACAGGGGACGGGCTAAATTAATGGCAGGGAGACGAAGTACCGAGTGACCATGGAAAAGAATGGGCTAGACGTAATGGCAAACTCTTGTAATCCCAGCATTTGGGAGGCTGAGGCAGGAGGATCGCCATGAGTGTGAGGCCAGCCTGAACTATATAGTGAGACCCTGTCTTAAATAAATAAATAAATAGCTTTCTGGAGGGAGAAGAAAATGGGGAATTGATGATCAACAGAATAAAAGTTTAGTTATCCAAGATGAACAAGTTCTAGAAATCTGCTTCCCATACTGTATATAGATAACAGTACTGTTCTGTAAACTTAAAAATCTAGTAGGACAGATCTCATATTAAGTGTTCTTACCACAAAACAAAACAAAACAAAAAAACCACACAAGTCAAAATCAAAGAGCTAAAATGCAAGGCAACAAGCATTAACTCAATATGAAGTGAATGAAAACCTGGAAAAAAAATCTAATCTTGAGAAAAGGTTAGAGAGAAAAAATAGCTGTAGGGGCCAGGCATTTAGCTCAGTGGTTCTGCCACCTGCCTCGCAAGCATAAGGACCCAAGTTCTATCACCAGTACCAAAAGAAAAAAAAAAAAAGGAGAGAAAATAGTTGTACTGCAGAGATATAAGCTTGCTAAAACAAAGGACAAAAGATATATAGATAGCGATGCAGATTATTTAGGTACACATACACCTTTTGAATTTGATATCATGTGAACATATTGTATAGTTAACAAACAATGAAGAAAAGTATTTTAAAATGAAAACATATTAATACATTGAAGATTTTAAAAAGGAAAGTACAACAAAGAGCCTACGTGCTTTGGAATCAAACAGGCCTTTGTTGAATCCCATAGCCACCCTTCTAGGAGAATCCCGCTAGCCCGCTTAGATCCGCTTCCTCCTCCTGTGGTTGTTATGGTTAGAAAGGGTGTACTAAGCTCAGAGAGAGCATCCAGCTGGTACCAAGGCTTCCTGCTTCTGAAATATTTTTATATCACCTCTGCCTAGAATACAAAAGACACCAGATACGGTGGTCGTGAGGCAAGTTGAAGATGCTCGGGGCGAGGCATAGGGACAGAGGGATGCTGGGGGCAGAGGCCACAGGCGGACTGGAGCTGCTGCTGCAGCCTCCCCAACCTTCACCCTCCTTAAGTCACTACGGTGACACAGACGCCAGCAAGTCCATCCAGTGAGCCTGTGGCTAGGGCTGGAACAGAGGTTTCCAAAGCTTGGAGGTCGCAGCGGCGTTATTGTTGTGTTGTTGTTTTTGGTGGTGGTGGCCTGTGTGTGTTTGGGGTGGGGTCTCAGTATGTTGCCCAGGCTGGGCTTGAGCCCGTGATTTTCTAGCCTCAGCCTCCAGAGCAGCTGGGATTACATTTGGGACCTTGCTGGTGCCCAGCAGTTACTCAGCAGTTAACTTTGCAGAAAGGCAGAGCTGGAAAGGGCTTCAGTACTCACCCCGTGCAATCTCCTTCACCACAGGTGGAGAAACTGAGTCCAGAGAGGGAGAAGGACTGGGGCAAGGTCACAGCTCGTTCAGGGCAGCGCCAGTGTCTCACACTTCTCTCCCACAACCGCCAGCCCTGCTCCCTTTCCGTACTCCACCTAACTCTGCATATTGCCGATTGGGGACCGCTAGGTGACCATGAAGAGACAATATGGGTGAGAGGGCACAGCGTGGCCCCTCAAATCCTTTCCCTGCCCAAATCCTTAAGCTTGCAGATGCCCCAGAGACTCTGAACCCCTAAACCCCAAAGATCACACATAGAGGAGTCACTTACCCACAGTGACTTCCGGAGTCTGCCTTGTCCAAACGGTGGCGGACACAGCTGTTGGGGGCTTCCTCTGGGTCTTTGGTGAGGTCTTGGTCATGGTTGAGGTGACATTTGTCTCTTGGCTATAGTTGACTGTAGTCGGAAGGACAGAAGAAGGAGGGATCCTGCTGGTGGGGACAGCCCTGCTGGTTGTGCCATCTGTGGTAAAAATCTCTGAAGGGATCTTTGGTGAGGTCATGGTCAAGGCTGAGGTGACAGTTGTTTCCTGACTGAGGTTGGCTGTAGTTGGAAGGACAGACAGAAGAGGGCTGCTGGTGGTGAAGGCCCTGTTGGTTGTGCCCTCTGTAATAAAAGTCTCTGAAGGAATCTTAGGTGAGGTTGTAGTCACAGCTGAGGTAACTCTTGTCTCTTGGCTGCTGCTGGCAGTAGTCGGATGGACAGGAGAAAGAGGGCTTCTTGTGGGGAAGGCCCTGTCTGTGGTAAAAGTCTTTGAAGGGGTTTTTGGTGAGCTTATGGTCATGGCTAAGGTGAGGTTTGTCTCTTGGGTGCTATCTGTAGTTGGATAGACAGAAAGAAAAAGGCCCGTGCTGGTAGAGATTGCTCTGCTGATTGTGTCTTCTGTGATAAGACTCTCTGAAGAAGACTTTGGTGAAGTCATGGTCTTAGCTGAGGTCACACTTGTCTCTTGTCTGCTGCTGGCTTTAGTCGGATGGACAGGAGGAGGAGGGCTCCTGCTGGTGGGGAAGGCCCTGCTCGTTGTATCTTCTGTGGTAAAAGTCTCTGAAAGGGTGGAGTTCTTGATGGTGAGCCCTTCAGAAGAGCTGGAGACTGAAGCTGAAGATCCAGCAAAGGAAGTCATTTTGCCCTCTGTTGGTGCAGCCTTGGTGGAGACTGTAACTGCTCCTGACACCGTGGTGTAGCTCTTTTGAGAGAGGGCTGAGGTTTCTCCCAAGGGGCCCATGCCAACTGTCACCTGAGTTCCCCCAGGGGCGGGGGCCAAGGCTGATGTTACTTCTGTTTCTGTGGTGCCTGTGGGCAGTGAGGCCTCAAGGATGTTGTTGGGGGCAGCTGACTCTGAGGTGCTGGCCCTGGAGAGGGTCTCAGCAGGGGATGTGGGGCTGGGGCTGGGTGAGGCAGGCAAAGCTGGCGTCTTAGAGGTGGACAAGGCCTTCACTCCTGTGGAGCTGTGATCTGGGTCTGAAGTCCCAGATATGACCGCAGCTGTTTCTGTCTCCCTGAGGAACTTGATGTGGGTAGTGCTGTAGGGGACCAAGGCCTTGCTGGGAACGGCTACATCAGGACCCAGGGCTTGGGAGGTGGTGCCGATGGCCACAGAGTGGTCTGAGGAAAAGCTGCTGTCAGAGGACAGGCTCTCAGCTTCCCCAGAGGTGCGCACCCATGTCAAGACATTTGTGATCCATCTTGCTTCCTCAGAGCTGTCATCCGTACAAAGGGTATCAAAAATGGCTTTTGTGGGATCGCTGCCTGGACGAGTCTCCGCTGTGGTCTCTCCAGTCCTCATGGAGCTGCCGCTTGTGTCCAGAGTCTCCGCAGCGACCGTGACTGCAGCCATGGAGTCAGAAGGGATTAATTTGGTGAGTGTCCTGGTATCTGGTAGAGGGGAAATGGTCTTTTGTGTCTCCCTGGTCTCTGATGGAGGGGAAACGGCCTGGGTATCCCTGCTCTCCGATACATAGGGAATGTTTGGGGTGCGCCTAGTCTCTGTGGAATGGAAAGTAGCCTGAGTGTCCCTGAACTCTGTGGCAAGGGGAGTGGCCCCCTCTAATGCTGGAGAAGTAGGCTGGGTATCCCTGTTGTCTGATGCAGAGGGGATGATTGGGTTATCTCTGGTCCCTGTGACAGGGGAGGTGGCCCGGGTGTCCCTGGTTTCTGTGACAGGGAGAGAGGTCTGTGTGTCCCTGAATTTTGTGACAGGAAAAGGAAACGGTGGTCTGCGTTTCCCAGGTGTCTGAGCAAGGGAAATGGTCAGAGTCTCCTCGGTCTCTTTTTTGGAAGCAATGGCAGCTGGGGTTAAGGTCTTGGAAAGGGTCTCAGTGCCCGGGGTTGGAGTCTCCACAGGAAGGCGGCCTGCTGCTGTGGTCTTGGCAAGGTCAGGGGTCAGGAAAGCTTCCTCCAAACTTATGCTGATGCCTGGCATCGCAGTCAGCACCCTGGAGGTGTTGTCGTCACCACTGGGCATGGTCCACTGGGGCTGGGGTCTGTGTTGGGTGAGACCAGTGCAGTGAGCCTTGAGTGCCGGCAGACAGAGTCCACACAGCTCCTGGGCTTAGGCTGTGGGCACTGCTTGGGCTGGGAGGCGGGGATTATTTCCTACTGTCTGTTCATAGAAATGAGGAAGGAGGAGGAGGAGGCAGAGTGGGGAAGCCGAGCCCCTGGGGCGGCACAGGGCTGGGGTTACCCGGACAGCCTCCTCCGAGCCCTGACAACACTCCTGAGCCAGCAAGCCCAGGACCTGAGGTGACTATTGGTCGGCAGCCACCGGGGCAATCAGTATGGCCAGTGCCTACCCTTGAGGGACAAGGAAGGCGGAAGTTTGTGTGAGCCCAGAGCTGCAGAGCAGGGACCAGACTTGCGTTCCTGAAAGTTTCCTTGTCAGCTGCCCGCAGACACTTTCTCATCCAACAAACGTCTCTCCAGGGAAGCATTTTCTTAAAATACAAGGGAGCCCTGTGGTTTTATCTTTACGGGAACCTGGGAAGACTGGGGATGAGAAAGCTGCATTGTGAGTCGGGGTGGGGGGCTGGGCAAAAGTGGAGGCAATGGGGCCTTAGCGAGGGAGAGGAGGCTGTCCCACCCCTGCCCACGGCCGTCCTGCGTGCAGCCCGCGAACGAACCCAGACACAGACAGCGAGCCCAGCGAGCAGAGGCGGACATCGCAGAGCGGCAAGGCCAGGAGGCTTTGAGGTGACCCCTCAAGGTGCCTTCCTTCCCACGTGGGCATGGCTGTCTGCGGAGTTGGCCAGAGACAGGGCCTCCTAGGGTGGGCTGCCCGATCCGGCAAATACAAATACAAGACAACTCGTTAACTTTGTTTTTCGTTTTGTCTTGTTGTTTGTTTTTTGAGACCAGGTCTGTGGTTCAGGCTGACCTTGAACTCACTGTAGCCCGGGCGGGCCTCGAACTCGTGGCGGTCCTCTTGCCTCAGCCTTCCGAGTGCGTGTGCCAGCACAAGTGGCTGCTTTGAATTCAAATTTCCAATCGATGAAGAATAATCATTTTAGACATAAAACAGTGGATAATTTTTAGTCTGAGTATTTCTCGTGAAATATTTAAGACATATATATTCCCAGAAATACACAAGTATCTGGAAGCCTTGTGTTCATTCTGTCCAGGTAGCCCTGCTCTTGGGGAAGCCCTTTTACGGTATTCTGTTGGCTGAAGTGGTGTTTCCTGAGGTTCACTGGTCCAAGTGTAGACCAAGGACCCAAAGGAGGCCCAGGACCTCTCTCCAGGAGGCCAGGACAGGGCCCCAGGTCCTTGGCTTGTCCTCCTGTTGACCTCACGGAGTATTTATCCAAGTTCCCGCTTGGTTCCCGCAGTGTGGAGCAGCCCTTCCCTGCCTCAGCCCCACAGCCAGACGCCCTGCTGGGCTCTTGGCATCTCACCCCTGACCTCCTGGATGCTTTCTGTTCCTTTATCCTGGAGCCCCGTGGAGTCATTCCCGCTGCCCCTAAACCCAGAGGTCTTCACTGCCTGAGCCGCCACGCCCCCATCTCCTGCTGGCCAGGTCTTTGGGACTGAGTGAAGCCCACCCCTGCCTCGGTGGGGCGCTCCAGGACACCGCGGCGTGGCCAGCCCGCCACGCCGGGGGAGGGCAGCAGGCACGTGGAGCCTGGTTTGAGTCCCTCCTCCGCTGCTTGCTCCGCTGGGTGCCCACCCTGCAGCCCTGGTCAAGTTTCCTAGCTCCCCGCCTGGAAATGGAGCTCGGGGCACCTATGGCAAGGGTTGGAAGACAGCACAATCCTGGCAGGCTGAGCTCATGCCGGAGGCAGTGTGGGTCCGTGGTCAGGTACAAAGTGACCCTGGATAAATCACTTCATCCGCATCAGCCTCTCACGAGGTGGAGGTGACAGGAATAGCGCCCATCACAGAGGTCCCGAGTTTGAGAATGTGCCAATATGGGAAGTGTGATCAAAACTACAGTGACTCTTACAAATATTTTTTAATTACAGTAACAGATGCATGGCCACGAACCCCCCTCAAAATCCTCTCCCTTGCATCAAACACACCTACTCTGTCATTCTTGCCACTGTCTGAAGCAGTTCTGAAAGTCCTTTCCTGATTGCCTTTATGAGGTGTGATAAAAAATATGGTGAATATCGGTCCCCAGGGCCACCCCACAGAAAGGCAGCTCCTAAAAACACTCCTGTGTGCCCTCACCTATCTCCTTCATAGAGCCTGGCATCCTGCAACTTCGCTCTCTTCCCCAAAGTCAAAATGATCAGGACAGAGCAATATTTTGCATCAGCTCAGGGCATCGAGGCAGCCACGACAGTGCAACGAAACACAGAGCTGCCTCAGGAAGCTGCAGGAACACCGGATCGGTCTGGTCTGTTCAAAGCCAGGGGAACAATTTCGAGGGGGGTTTGCGCGATGTGTCTTTTACCGTCATATATATTTTTAAAATTTAAATATTCACCATATATTTTAAGGACCCCCCCTTATACGGTTATCTGCTGCAACCAGTGTACCCATCTGTTGGGGCTGAGGACAGGGGAGAAGCCATAGGCGGTGAGGGTCAGGGGTACACGGGAACTCTTTGTACTCTGCTCAGTCTTGTTCTGAACCTAAATCTGCTCCTTAAAAACAGTCTGCTTGAAAGTCTGTGATGAGCACAGCACGGCTCCTGTTAGTGACGGATCTGTAGGTGCCCTTTAACTTCGTTAAAGTCTTCTCTCTGATCCCTTCTTGTCCCGCACTCCTCTGTGACTGCGTTCACGCCAAAGCCGTATTTAGAAGGAAAAGCTGCTAGGTAAGAAATCTGCAGGAGCCATTGTTCAGCGTCAAGCAGAGAGCGTGCCAGCCGGTCCTCCCGGCCACCCGACTCACACTGCCTCCTGCACGCTCACCGTCCACAGGAATCACATTTCCCACATAGACGCTGCAGGGTGCAGCCCTAGACCCTCACCTCCTTACCTTTAAAGTCCGAGGAGTCCCCAACCTCCCAGCAGAGGATCAGAAGGGGCAGAGCCAGGCCACAGACTGAGCCCATCCCAGCTGGGGCTCCAGCCATCACTGCCCAGCAGCCTTGCCCGCCGCCTCTGGCTGCCGCCTTTTCCTGCTTCCTCCACCCGGGAGGAGGGGCAGCACCTCCAGGTGCGTCTGGGTGGTTTCCGGCACACGGCCAGCTGACCATGAGTGTGCAGGTCCAAGGCTGACAGGCAGGGCTGTCGCTGGCTCACCTTCCTGTGCCCTTGCCGGTGACTTCTCTCTCTGCAGTCTGATTTGAAGATATGGGCTCATTTCCATGGCGACGTTCACCCCCTCTGCCCTGCAGGGACCTGGGAGTCCGGGGGCTTGGGCTCCACGGACAGACCTGGGCTTTATTCCTGACCCAGCTCTTATGAGCTGCAGGATCTTGGGAGAATGACAGGAGCGCTGTGAACGTCAGCTCCCTGATCTGTAATGGGACATGATGTGCACCTGGGAGGCTGCTGTAAGGAGCCGAACCTGTGCACGGCCCCAGGTGCTCCAGAAATGAGTGGGAGCCCCGACCTCCACTCATCCTCAAGCAACCAAGGGAAGGGGCGCTTCTGAAGTCACAGGGGACAGCTTGCTGTTGGGGGTCACTATATCCTTTGACTGCTGCCTCCAAGGCCAAGCCAGGACCTTGTCCCAGTCAGGGCCGGGTACTGGGACCGGAAGGGTGAGTGCTCACCTGCTGAGTCCCACCACCTGCGAGGGCAGAGTGAGGCAGGTGTCTTGGGGACCAAGGGGGCCTTGGGCTTGGGGACTTAGGGATTAGTCCAGGAGAGAGGAAGTGAAGGTAGGAACTCTGTTTCAGGTGTTCTAAGGAAATCCCTCTAGGGGACAAGGACATGAGCTGTTACGGCCACAGCCAGGGCCAGACAAGGTGCCCCAGAAAGCATCTCTGGGGCAGAGGAAACACGTGAATGGGCGCCCCAGAATCACAGTCTCAGGGCCAGAAAGAAACGTGGCTCTGCTTGTGGCCCGGGAGCTGTGTGAGCTTGGAGGAGTCATTTGCCCTCTTTGGTCTTCAGGAGTGAGAATGCCCTTGGCCCTGCAGTCTGGGGTGGGATGTACGGTGTGTGACGCTGTCTTCTAGAACGTTCCCCTGTGTTGAGACGAAAGCCACGCTGTTGGGACAGAGGAGCAGGGGTCCCAGGAAGTGGAGACCGGAGGGCTCTTCCAGAAGGGACAGTGGGGTCTGTGCGGCACTCATCCCGGGGGCCTGTTCCAGAGACACCATGAGGGCAAGGCAGGAACTCAGCAAGCATGAGGCTCCTCTGGGCCAGCCCCTCCCGCTCTGCTGCACCTCAGGAGGACGGGTGGGGGCTTCCTCATTCCAGCCCAGGTGGGTCCCAGCAGATTTAATCTCCTGAGAGGAACCCAGGCCTCTCACCCTGGCTAGAGAGCCATGTTCCGTTTTCTTTTCCTCTTTATCTTTTCAGTGATCAACAGTCGACTTGGCTGAGTTCCCTATCAACAGCCAGGGCCACCTTCTGTGTCTGGGGGGATTTCCAAGCTTGGCAGGTGGCCGTGGGCCCTGTACCAAGCGTATCCAGAAAGTTCTCAGACCATTTCTTCAGCCAAACTCAGCTCACACTGAATAACCCCAGGCAGCTAGTTTTGCTGGTTTGTCAGAGACAGGGTCTCACTCTGTAGCTCTGGCTGGCTTTGAACTCACTACATAGCCCAAGCTGGCTTCAAACTTGTGGTGATCCTCCTGCCTCAGCCTCTCAAGGGCTGGGATTCCAGGTGCACTAATTTAACGAGCACCCATGAAGCCCCTGCTGTACACCAGGTACCTTCTGAGACCTGTGGGAAATCTCGCTGAGGAAGGCAGGTCCCTGCCAAGGTGAACTTCCTAGCGAAGAGCCGGCAAAGAATAACCTGAGAGATCCCTGTGGTGCACGTGGGTGGACCTCTGAGAGGAGAGTGGCAGGCACAGGGTGTGGAGAAAAGCAGTGAGGTAGTTGCCGAATGGCCTCCAGGGGAGAGCGCGTCGGGCAGCAGGAAGGACTAGAGAAGGTTCTAGAAGCTGAGGCAAGGCCAAGGGACACCAAGGGCCAGCGAGGCTGGGAGATTGGAGGGAGTAAGATTTGGGGGCGGGGAGCAGATCGGTGGTGGACGGCGATAAAGGACTTTGTGGCCTTGATTTTACTTGGTCAAAAGACAAGTTACTATCAGGTCTAAAGATCTCAATTGAGCCCAGTATCATGACGCTCAGCTAAGGGGCTGAGGCAGTACGATTGCAAATTCCTGCCCAGCCTGGGCAATTGAGACACTTAGTGAGACCTCATCTCAAAATAAATGAAATATAGAGGCCAGGCATGGTGGCACATGCCTGTAATCCCAGCACTCGGGAGGCTGAGGCAGGAGGATCGCTGTGAGTTCTAAACCAGCCTGGGCTACGTAGTGAGTTCCAGGTCAGTGTCAACTACATAGTGAGACCCTGTCTCAAAAAAATTAATTAAAAAAAATAAATAAAATATAATGTAATTAAAATCTAAACTACAAAGGACTGGGGATGTCACTCAGGGTGAAGGCCTGGGTTCAGTGCCCAGCACCACACCCCCAAAAAGCTTAACTGGCTTTACTTGTGTTTCTATAATCGGGCCAAACTTCATTCCTATAAAGTGCAGACGAGCTGAGCAGAGGAGGGTGGTTTTACAGACAGTGAGGGGCTGAAGAAGGGAGAACAAAGAACAGAGGTGGGGGCTGAGGCGCAGGTCAGTGGCAGAGCATGGGCGTAGCACACAGGGTTCTGGGTTCCGGGTTCCGCCCCCAGAGCTGCTGGAAAACGAAACCCAAGACAAGGTGGAGCCTGTTAGAGGGTATTTTCCTTGTGAGGGCGAACAGGGGAACACTGACTGACTGGTTCTTATCAGGTTACTTTTTTTTTGGTAAGGTTTTACCTTGCTGTGGGAGCCTGGCTGAACCAGAGCGACTCCATGTTGACCAGCGAATGACCTGGAGGCTGTCGCTCCCCGCTATCCCTTATGGAATAACTAGTGATTAATTGTGAATTGTTGGGTGGCTGCTTTGAAGTAGCTGGGAGGCTAGATGGAAACTGTAGTGAACACAGAGACCCAACATAAATCACACCACTCCTTGCTTGCCCGTAGTGGAATGTTCTGAACTTTGTAATCTAAGTTGAAAATGGAAAAATGGATAATCAATCTGCTGATCATTAGTACGTGATGGTCAAGTATATGCCTGATGACCACTAGCTCAGATTAACTGATTCTTTGCCTTTGTCCTCTGTAAGTTTTAAGTGTAAACGCCCCCCCTTCAGCCCAATATAAAATGGCCTCTGTTTCTGAGCTGGCCGCCCTTCTTGAGCTACTTGGCTTAGGAGGTGCCGTCTGGCCAGACTAATAAAGGTCTATTAGCCAACTTGCCTGGTGTGCTCCTTCCTGGGTGACTCTCGCTATCGGACAAGCTCCTGGAGCCTCGCTGAGCTACTGAGCCCAGCATCGTGAAGGCCTCTTGGCTGTTCACGCTCCAGGAGTAAAAGTGAGACACAAGTCTTACATTGCTTTATCGTCACGTCAGCTGAATCTGGCCTGTTGGGAGATATTTTCTCTCTCCCTTTCTCCGTCTGTCTCTCCCACCTTTCCTCTCTCTTTCAGTTTCTCTGAGGGTCAGATAACAGCTCAGTTTCAGCTTGGTGAAGTGGAACTTGGTGCAGGTGACTCCAGTTTGGTCTTCGGTCTGGGCCCTACTCAGCCCCACGATGACCTCCGGGACTCTCTGGCCAGGTGTTCTGAAGTCTGGAGCAGAGGAGGCTGAGAAGGAGGAGGCCCTGGAGGCTGCTCGGAGAACACAGCGGAGCAGGGAGCTGGGTCAAGGAGAGATGGGGACCCCTGGAGAAGATGGGGAAGAGTCTGACTGCCAGTGTGTTTTGGAGCAGAGCAGCAGAATTTCCCCTGTGAAGGTCAAGGAAGCGGAGGAGTCAGGCAGGACCCACACTGTCACCCGAGGCCCTATAGGCTGGAGTCCTGGGTGCCTGCAGGTTGGGCTGCCCCGCCCTCAGGAAAGCCGGCACATCCCAGGGGTGGAGTGGGACTTAGGGCCAAGGTGGACACCAGCCTACCATGGGCAGAGAGAAGGGGAAAGTCAGTGATGTGTCCTTGAAACACAAGGCCAGAAAGGAGCCAGGCCCCTGAGCCGTGACCAGCTCCTCAGGCCACTGCCAGTACAAGGAGGTTGGTGGGACAGAAAACTTTTCCTCTGCCAGTTTGGCAGTGTGTGTGTGTGTGTGGGGGGGGTTGTGCTCAAATTAACTGAGTAAAGACAAATTTTAGAAAATAAAAAAAATACCAAGCATACTCAGGAGGCTGAAGCAGGAAGATCCCTATGAGTTTGTGGCCAGCCTGAACTGCATACTGAGACTGTCTCAAAAAACAAAGCAAAACAAAATTTGATCTTTAAGCAACTGGGGGGGGGGGGTTCTGAGTGGGTCCCCACAGGTTCTGGCTGCTGTGGGTTCTGTGTGGGCCAAGCAGGGTCACCTGTGGGAATTCTTCACGTTCTTAAGGCTTGAGAACACCCCCCCCCACACCAGCCCATATTTACTCGGTTGTGGGCTAGGAAACACCACACCAGAAAGCCTCTGCCTGCCTGTTCATCCACCTGCTTTATTAGGGTAAAACTCACGCATGGTACAGGCCTGTGGAGAATAAACTGCAGCTTGAAGATTTTTTTCCCTTTTCAGTACTGGGGATGGAACCTCGGGCCTGACACGCCCTGCCATTGAGCTAACTTCCTAGCCCTTTTTAAAATGAGTTTGAGACAGAGTCTGGGTAAGTTGCCCAGGCTGCCCTTGATCTTGAGATCCTCCTGCCTCAGCCTCCTGAGTAGCTGGATTATACACGTGCCCCCCCCCCCGGCTCTCGGCTTGAGGAAGTTTTACATACGTGTGCTCCTGGGATGTTCCTGCCTCTCTGCTTAACAGGCTCCTGTGTCCCTCCCAGATCTCCGCTCCCCCAGATGATCACCAGGACAGACCCTGCTCGTGACTGAGCATCGCATCAGCAGGTTGGGTGTGCACACGTCTGTGCCTGGCTTCTTTCTCTTAGCATCAAGCCTGTGAGCCTCATTTGTGCCATGGGTG